CTGAGAAGTTTAGTATATGGTGCAGTGTTTGAAACTTTCATCATAAGTTCTCAGTAAATTGAAAATAATAATTATTTTTGGTACCAGAATGTAATAAATGTATGTATGGAACTGACTATTAGAATTTATATGTAACTGACAATTTGGAAAATATAGATTAAAGAATTGGAACTTACTGAAACTGAATATACAGCAGGTAAGAAACACCATATACAGTATGTTACTTAAATATGTTAAAACTTGATTTCTGAAAACCAAAAAATTCCCCTAAAGCAAAATTAATTTGTCATTGGTTAAAATGTCTGCTTATACTAACCAAAATATGAAAATATTAGCTTTGATATATTTATCTTTTTTTATATTTAACACTTTTAATTTCTTGCTTAATTCACTGTTATAAATATGCTAGAAGTATATGAAAGTATTTTACTTAGAACAATACAACAATCATTAACTATTGTGATAATCTGAGAAGCTTAGTGCTTCTTTTCTCTTATATTTATAAACAAAAAAATAATACTTTAAGCCTGACTTGCTCACACAATTTACCAATAACTTCAACACATCTCAGTGATTACTGACAGTATATACAGACTCACAACATTAAAATACAGTGTTTGGTTATTTGTGGTGGGCACAGTGTAGACAGCCCATTGTGTAGCTTTACACTAAAAAAAAATTATTACAAGTCATACTTATGAGTTTCTCAATTTCAGTTAAAGAGAGCTTATAAGCATTTTCCTTTTTCTTGTAATCTCTGATTGTACACATTCATGACCTTGAGCTTATTGTTATACAAGCTGTATCCTTAGGCTGTATAATTACTTATGGAAAGTGATTTAATTAATTGCTCTTTCAGCAAAGAAAACTACAATGATATATAGTTTTTACAACTATAAGTTGCAGAAAATCTAACTGGAATTTACAGGGGCTGTGAAAACGAAACCTGGTATTACAGGTAGTTTTAAGCACAGAGAAAAAGGTAATGGATAATTCTTCATTCAGACTTCTTTAATTTGCACATAAGGATGAAAAAACACATTTAATGCTTAATTATCTTTGAATATACTATTACTTTATTATTTAACAATTAATAATATGGGTATATCATAAAATCCATTTATACACATATTTAAGCTACACTGCAGCTTAAAAGCTTTTGCCTATTCAATACATTTACATTGCACCTTAATAGTCAAAGACAGTTGCAATGCATTACACCTTCATCAATTCTAGAAATATATTGATTTTATTAAATACTCAAATCAAAGCAGCTTGAATGAGGGATATAATTATACGTTGTCGTCTCTGGTATTAGTGTTATGACTGAAAGAAAAAATGCTTCAGATTACTGTAACAAAGTTATCTTGATGTAATAAATAAACTTTATCTTTTATACATACTCTTTCAGTATATAAATATAAACTAGTTTTACAAAAAATGAATATAAACTAGTTTTACAAAAAATTAATATAAATCTATAATAATCTCTCTCTCACTCCAAAAAATGTATGTTATTCAGATAAAACTGGAGTCTGATTTAGCACACGATGTGAAACTATGACAATAAAACAGCCTACGACCTTTATACAATAATATTAAATAACTTGCAAAACTGAAAATAAAACTTAAGTATTTATAGTTTAATATAATGTATGAATTTATTTAAAGGAAACACACTAAGATTAAAAATTTGATACAATGATTAGCACAAAAAAAATTAAAGTTAAGTAGGTTCATGGTGATTCAACTGTAAGTCTGTTTTCTTCTAACACAATATCTGATTTCAATTCCTGCAGTTCGCAGGGTGCAGATAGTGTTTTTGTGTAGCTTTGTGCTTAAATCCATAAAATATCTTTAATAATTTATCACCGTGTGTGTGTGTGTATAAAGAATTGATATAAACAAATGATAAAAGTGCCAGTAATCATGATATATTTACGAGATAATTGGGGAGTATGTATCTTAGGTTTAAAAAAAAGTGCCAAATAGAAATTGACCTGAATATGACCTAGTTGTTATTGATCAGATCTGTTGTACTCAAAGTGATTCCTAAAGCGTGTTGAGATGATGATAGGCGTAAGGACCCTTTTGTAGTAATGCTATTAAAACTGGTAGTGCAACATTGTCCAACATATCCTTTCTTTCATTACGACCGAAGGACCTACTACATACTGT